ACAACTGAAAAGTAAAATATTAATTTTTTTCAATAAATTTATATTTATAAACATTTATAAAAATTTTTTATAATTTTTTTCAAGTTTATGTCAAAAAAGCAATGTTGGCAAAGAGCGTTGTGAACAATTTTTCTATACTCAGCCAGCACTTGCCGCCGTGGCTTGTCCAAGCTTTGGCAAAACAAAAATTCTGTACTGCGCCAGCACTAATTGTCGAGGCTCGGCTAGACTACGCCGAACAATCGTCTGAGTACTAAGCCAGTGGTAAACATCGGCACTACACTGGCATTTCCCATTGGGTTGTGGCAAACATTCTACTATTATAATAAAAATTTTTGTTTCTGAATTGAAATTCATTTATTCAAATTATAATTTTTATGTTTGTGTTGAAATTCATTTATTAAAATTACAATTTTTATGTTTGTGTTGAAATTCATTTATTAAAATAACAATTTTTATTTTTGTGGCAAAAATTCTTCTATTATAATAAAAATTTTTGTTTCTGAATTTAAATTCTTTTATTCATATTATAATTTTTATGTTTGTGTTGAAATTCATTTATTAAAATTACAATTTTTAACTTTGGATCGAAATTCATTTATTAAAATAACAATTTTTATTTTTGTGGCAAACATTCTACTATTATAATAAAAATTTTTGTTTCTGAATTTAAATTCTTTTATTCATATTATAATTTTTATGTTTGTGTTGAAATTCATTTATTAAAATTACATTTCTTATCTTTAGATCGAAATTCTTTTATTAAAATAACAATTTTTATTTTTGAACAAAGTATTTGTTTAAATTAAAATTTTTTTTGTTTTTGTTTAATTTTTGTTTCTGAATTGAAATTCTTTCATTCAAATTATAATTTTTATGTTTGTGTTGAAATTCATTTATTAAAATTACAATTCTTATCTTTGGATCGAAATTCTTTTATTAAAATATCAATTTTTATTTTAGTGGCAAAAATTCTTCTATTATAATTTTATAATAAAAATTTTTGTTTCTGAATTGAAATTCTTTGATTTAAATTATAGTTTTTATGGTTGTGTTAAAATTCTTTTATTAAAATTACAATTTTTATTTCTGGATTAAAATTCTTTTACTACAATTACTATTTTTTAAAGATGTAATTGTTTTAAAAACTCTCATTGCTTAAATAATTGCAATTAACTTTAACATATCCAATTAAGCTGTTATTATTTTTAACTGGCAATTATCGGATTTTTAATTATTATATTTGTCAAGCACCTTTATTAGAAACAATTAATTGAAAATATTATTTAATATAACAGTGCTTTATTAAAAGTAAATTTTTTTACTACTTTTGAAATCATTAACGACTCTACTGTCTATCCCTTATTAAAGTTATTAATTAAAGCTTCTTCTAATTGTAACAAAAGGTAATAGAAAATACATTCTTTCCATTTGAAAGTAATTTTTTAAATTACTATGTTCCTAATTAGAAATACGATATCAATTGTTTTGTATTAATAATATTAATTAATTAATTAATTTTAATAACATTAATTAATTAATTAATTATTGATATTTATTAATTAATAATTACTTTATTATTGATTATTTAATTAATAATTACTTAATAAATGATTTAATAATTACTTTATTAATGATTAATTAATGATTCCTCCTTTAAAGATTTATTAATGAATGAATGATTAATTAATTAATTAATTAATTAATTAACATCATTAATGTCAACTTTTATTGTTTGAGAATTGTCATTATAGAGAATTGCACAAGTAACCTCGTTGTGACTTATCGTTACCATATTTAAATCCGCTCTGAGATCATATCTCACTTTGAACCATAGAATCACGTTCTGATTGTTCAGTGGAATCATTGGAAAAGATTAATTGACCATTTCTGATAAATTTGAAGATGCAGATATAAAATAAGGCAAATTTGATTTTTATTGCAAAGAAATATTTATATATATATAAGCCTCTTTATTATGTGGGTTGCGAAGAATTGAAAGTGATAAGAAAAAAATTCAGAGAAAAAAAATTTTTTTTTGATAATGAAAGAATCGAATTTCTTGAATGTTATATTCTTAATGTTTTATTCATGATTCGTATATTATATTGAGTACACAGGTAAATGTCCGAAATTGATTTCGAATTTGCTATGGTCATTTTTATAAAAGATAGTGAAATGCCAATTGGGCGTTAAATGATTCTTTAAAAAGCTGAAAAGGTCAAAGAAGAGAAATTGTGTGAGATATATATATTTTTTTCAACCTCGCAGTGATAAAGTTGTGGCCGTCGGTGAAATATGGTTGTAAAGATTATGAATAATTTTATGGTTGTAAACTTTTATGTTTGTTTACTCGAAGTAGTTCATTTGCACATAATTTAGGTGTTGTAATGTTCTCTTTATCACTATACTCTTTGAAATTAGATATTTACATTTGTTTCGAAAGTTTTTTCTTTTTTCGAAAAAATAATCTTGAGATCAATCATTAGAGTTTTTCTTTTTTTTCTCTATTTAAATTCGGAAAGAAGATAAATTTTACACAGCCTAATAAATTTTATTTGGTTCAAATAAATATTATTTCGTTCAAATAATTTTTAATTATTTGAATTAATTTTTTTTAAATTATTTTTTTATTATTTTTTCAAATAAATATTACTTTGTCCAAATAATTTTTATCTGCTTTGAATAATTTTAATTTGGTTCAAATAGATATGATTTGGTTCGATTTGATTAAAATTTTTATTTTGTTAAAATAAATTTGATTTGGTTTAAATTTTTATTTGGTTGAAATAAATTTTATATTGTTCAAATTTTTATGTGGTTCAAATAAATTTGACTTGATTCAAAATTTTATTTGATTCAAATAAATTTGACTTGGTTCAAATTTTAATTTAGTTCAAATAAAATTTTTCTGAGAGACTGTAGAAGAACACTTGAGTCTTGTTAAAAAAAATTGAGAAATATTTTATTATTTTTACCTAAAATTTTTTCACAGTAATTGAAAAGGAAATTTTTAATTTTAAAATTATTCTTATTTTATTAAAATTATTTTATTTTGATTATCGAGGGGACAAATTTTGAAGTTCTGTAGGGACTTTACAGTATAGAGAATGAAAGTTATTTTCCAAACGTAACATTTTGAATATTGGGTATTTCAACATTGGAAAAGCAGATTTCTTTGGTATGTGAAGAATTTGAATATATTACACGCAATAAATTCGGTCGTACATACGCACCTAACAGTAGTTTTTTTCTCTATAATTAGCGTAATAAATGTATAAAAATATAATTCTAGAAATTTCACTTAATTTTTTTTTTATAATGAAGTAAGAATGTTTTTTTTCAGGAATTTTTATTTCTCAATTTCTTTTTACATTTTTGAAAAATGTTCGTTTACTTTTTATATTGTAGTTTAAAATTTGCGTTTATAATTTAAATTTAAAATGAAAGTTAAATAAATTTTCTTTTTATTTGAAGGAAATATTCATATTTTTTATTTTAAGAAAAAAACTTGTTTAAATTTTGAATTTTTATAAATAGGAATTAATATTCTGTTAAGGCTTTTGGAAAAAAATTATTTTATTATTATAAAAAGTAAAATTTAAACTCTGATTTTTTACTCACTTTTGCTATTTTTTCGTCAATAATTTTATTAATTTTTATTTGAATTAAAATTTTATAAAATTTTCCTTAATTTGGTAGAAACATTTGTTTCTCTTATTTAAAAAAAAAAATTATAATTAAAGTCAAAACTTTCACAGGGGATTTGCTATTTTTCGTCGATAATTTAATTAATTCTTTTTTTAAATTAATATAGAATTTTCCTTAATTTGAAAGAAATATTTGCTTCTTTTATTTTCAGAAAAAAAATTAAATAAAGTAAAAATTTTCACAGGGGATTTGCTATTTTTCGTCGATAATTTAATTAATTCTTTTTTTAAATTAATATAGAATTTTTCTTAATTTGGAAGAAATATTTGTTTATTTTCTTTTAAGAAAAAAATTAAATAAAGTCAAAACTTTCACAGGGGATTTGCTATTTTTCGTCGATAATTTTTCATTGTTAAGGGGAAAAAAATGAGAATTCTTTAAAAAAATATAAATAATAATACTTTTTAAGCTTTTGAAATGTTCGTTTACTTTTTCCTTTTTCTTTTTAAAATTTGCGTTTATAAAATTTTCTTCTATTCGAAAGAAATGTTTATTTCTTTTATTTTAAGAAAAAAAATTAATTAAATTCTGAACTTTCACAGAGTGTTTGCTATTTTTTTTTAATAACAATTTGTACAGAATTTGCTACTTTTTTGTCGATAATTATTAATTCTAAAGGGAAAAAATAGGAATTGACATTTTTGTTGAAGTAAAATCGAAGTAAAAATATTTTTTAAAGCAGTAATTATCGAACGTCATGAAAGAATGTCTTTGTAATTAGAAAATAATAATTAGTGAAATTCAGCAAAAATTTCTTCTTTATATTTTAACTGCAGTCTTCACATTTCTTCTTTATAATGCAAATTGGAAAAATTAATTTGTAAAAAATTAATGAAAAAATGAATAACAAAAAAATTAATGAAAAAATTAATAATAAGAAAAATTAATCACCAGTAAAGTGTGAATGATGTATAAATCGAGTGTTGATTAAAAAGGTTTAAACGAAATATTGTTTAATAACCTTGAGGTGATTATAAAGTATCATCACGTGGATTCTCCATAAGTATATTGAAGCAATACAATAATGGTTAGGAAGCGCATCTTCAGGCTCTTCTGTAAGAGTCACGAGACAGGGCTAGCCTACTTTCTCTACAAAGAGAATTTTTAAACGATGTGTGAGGAAGGGTTCCGTAGCATCTTTTCCCTCCTTATCATTCTTTCTCTTTTCCCCACATTAAATCGTTTGACTCTCTCTTTCTCGCACTCCTCTCACTCGATTCACCTGGCAGCGACGACGACAGCCTTTCAGGTAATGCCCCTCTCGGAGTCTATATAAGCCGAGACATTGCACGAGGCTCAACATTTTTTGAATCAAGTCCCACGTGACGTTTAGTTTGGCGCACGTGTCTCGCACTTTTTTTTTTTTTTTGAAACCAAAGTGACCGGTCAGGAAGTGTTTACGGCAAAAATGGTGTACGCGACGTAAAAAAGTTTCTATTATTTATTATTAGAAAAGTCGTATATTGATTTAATTTTTTTTTCATGAACGTGATCGTATGGTGCGTGATTTGAATATTTATTGATAATACAATATTGTGTGTTGGATTTTTTATAGTGCAGTGTGTGGGACTTTTGTATTTGAAAAAAAATATAGATAATACATCATGGATAAATTTCAGGTACGATTTTTAATTTGTCTTGTTGGGTGCAGTTTTTTTGGAGGAAATTTTGTTGACTCTTCTATATTTGAAGAAATCCTTTTGTATTTTTTCGAATTTTATTTTTAGTTTACTATTTTTTTTAACTTCAGAAATCTAATTCTTGATTTTGAAAGAAATGATATGTTGATTATTATTTGGTGAAAATAATTGGTAATTTAAAATTTGCAATTATAACTAGTATAATATTGTGGTTTGGAAGGCGAATTTTCGAGTCGAAAAAAAAAATTAATTAAAAATTAATCGATTAGTAATTTAATTAACTTGTGTAACCAGTGAGTAAGAAAATAATTGATCACTGTAATTATACACTAAATTTTGTTAAATATTTAACATTTTATTATTTTTATTTCAAAAATGGGAAAATGTAACGTTCAAACATTAATTTGGCGGTGAATATTTAATTAATAAGAGAGCATTAATTATTTTAATTTAACATTTTTAATTTTACATTTTGTTTACTTTCGAAAGTAAAGAGAATGAAAAATCGAAAATGAATGAAAATTATAATATTAATGTTATATTTACCTTTTATTTTAATTTCAAAACTTTGAAACTTAAATATTAATTTAACGCAGTGAATAAGGAAATAAGGAAAAATTTTGTTTTTTTAATATTTTTTAATTTTAAGTTCAATTTAAATTGAAATTTAATTTTTAATTTAAATTTAAATGTAACTTTTAATTTAAAAAAGAAAGTTATAAATTTTCAAACGAAAAAAGAACAAAAAACTTAAAATAAATGAAAATTGTAACTACTATTCTATTTAATTTCAACTTAAAATAAATAAAAATTTCAACTAGTATTCTATTTAACATTTCGTAATTTTAATTTGAAGAATTACAAAATTCTACTTGCAAATATTAATTTAAAAGACAATAATTTATTAATATGGGAGAATTTAATATTTTATTTTAATTTTTTAAATTAAGAAAAGAAGTTTTCATTTTTCAAAAGCAGAGAGAACGAAACATTAAAAATAAAAATATATGAAAATTATAATTAGGGAGTAAGAATTAATAAATTAAATTAGATTATTTGTAATAATTATAGAAAGTACTTAAAAAATATAAAAAGTAAAAATTATTTGAATTAATTTTAGAAAATTTTATAATTTTATTATATTTTTTAACTTTAAGTTTAATTTCAATTGAAATTTAATTTTAAGTTTAAATTTAAATGTACTTAACTTTTAATTTAAAAAAGACAGTTATAAATTTCCAAACGTAAAAAATAAAAAACTTAAAATAAATGAAAATTGTAACTACTATTTCATTTAATTTGAAGTCAGAATAAATAAAAATTGTAACTATAGTATTCTATTTAACATTTTATAATTTTAATTAAAAAAATTAAAATATTCTACTTGCAAATATTAATTCAAAAGAGAATAATTTATTATAATAAGGGAGAATTTAATATTTAATTTTAATTTTTTAAATTAAGAAAAGAAATTTGTTAATTTTCAAAAACAGAGAGAACGAAAGATTAAAAATATATGAAAATTATAATTAGGGAGTAAGAATTAATAAATTAAATTATTTGTAATAATTATAGAAAGTACATAAAAAATATAAAAAGTAAAAATTATTTGAATTTTGCCTGTGTTAATAAATAAATAAATAGGTAAATAAAAAGAGTAAAAATTAATAAAAGTTAAAATTTTTTTTTAATTTAACTTCAGAAATTTTATTCATTTTTTTATAATTCATTTTGAAAGAAATGATTTTTTGATTATTATTTGGTGGAAATAATTGGTAAATTATAATTTGCAATTATAACTAGTATAATATTGTGGTTTGGAAGGCGAATTTTCGATTCGAATTTGTATTAATCGATAAGTAATTTAATTAACTTGTATAATCAATGAATAACAAAATAATTTATCACTGTAATTATACACTAAATTTTGTTTATTTAAATTGTTTTGTTTTTAAACAAATTTAAATTTTGTTTATTTAAAATTTGTAAAAGTTGAGCTTTTATTAATTTATTAATTAATAAAAGTTAAAATTTTACTAATTTATTAATTAATAAAAGTTAAGCTTTTATTAATTTATTAATTCATAAAAGTTGAGCTTTTCTTAATTTATTGATTAATAAAAGTTTTTAGTACATTGTAAAAACATAAACAGTAAAAATTATTCGAGTTTTGCAATTGTAAATAAATAAATAAATAGGTAAATAAAAGCAGTAAAATTAATGAAGGAGAATATAAGGAGTAAAAATTAATTAATAAAAGTTAACATTATTGTTGAATAATTAAACAAAGCACTAAAAAATATAAAGAGTACACTTTATTTTAATTTTGCTTGTTTAAAAAAAATAAAAATAGATAAAGAGTAAAAATTATTTGTGTTTTGCCGGTGTAAATAAATAAATAAATAAATAAATAAATAATAAGTGTAAAAAGAGTGAAAATTAATAAAAAGTAACAAATAAACAATTGCTAAATTGGAGTATTTACTTCAACAAATAAAAAATTAAGTGCTGCTATTTAGTTATACAAACAAATGGCAAGAATCGCAGAAAAGAATGGAAAAAAATCACAATCTTAATAAATATATTACCGCAGTGGCAAGTTTCAAAAAGAAAGAAAAAAAGAAAGAAAGACGAAAATATTACCATTGACCGAAATAGTTTTGCACACATAAGGTTGAATTTCTGACGGGAGGTCACGTACACCCAGTCATTGGGAAGCACGACACGACCCTTTTGCTGCACATTCATTATCGATAATCACAGCGCGACGATTCTCAACCAGAGATTAAGTAATTGCCGGTTTTCTTATCGGTTCAACATTAGCCGCTAATCCATGGTTCGCTGGCTCTACTAGAATATGCAATCGTTGCATGGCTAATTCCTTCATCTTCGATGTTTCATTCTCCACGGGGATCGACTTTTATTGCATCACTTTCTCTCTCTTTTGTGCCTAAATAGTTTTCTATTTTTCTTGTCTCCCAACTTTTTTTTAACCCCCTTGGCGTTAAAAAGAATAAATTGCCGTCTAACAGAATAAATCACAAAGCGCGTTCTTGCAACAATCGATATTATTAAAGCTAACATTTAGTTTTGAAATTTGAGAAAAAAATTCTAACTTGTTGCTTAATATACTTTTATCGATGAATATAATAAATTGCATATATGCTTTATTCAATGAGGGACTTTTCAATGAGAGGTTGATTTTTAGAAAATGTGTATAAGTTGTATTTTTGTATAAATAAGGATAGGGTAATGAATGGGGAACGGTTTGTAATAGAATTGTGCTCTTTATGGAATTGCGATTGATTTTGTATTAAAATTGGTAAAATGATTATATTTTGTATTAGTTTTTTTATATTCTGTATTAAAAAATACATTTTAAATATCATTGTATAAAGAAAGGTACGAGTTTAGTACCAATTTTGGTACTAAATCGTAATTTGTTTTAATTTCTAGATCCTTATTTTTACAGTGATTTGAATTTTTGAGCAAATAGTGTTGATTCGTCCATTGAATGAATTAGCATCTTTTCTAATATCAAATTGAGACAAAAAACAAATCAAAAGTGTTGCGAGGCAACACTTTTGATTTGTTTTTTGTCTCAATTTTACATTCTGTGAGGTGGATGTAAAAAATCAGAACAGATAATAATAATAATAATATCGAATGTTATCGAATCTAATGATGTAGAACATAATCATTCATAAGTAATGTAATTAATATTCGGTACAAGGAAGACGAGAATTGAGAAATTGTTTTTCTTTTTTACTTTAGCAGGTGGACTGGAGAAATATAATAAATATATAGGGTAAATGAGAGAAATTATTTAATGTCCATTAACATTAAGAAGAAAAGAAAATGACGGGCCGCACGATCACTTGGTGGAAAGTGAAATATAAACGGAAATATATAAGCGGCACGCGGAAGGAAATGAAATTAATAATGGGGGTCTCAAGAGTAGAGGTGAAATGAATGATTCGATAAGAAGCAACCCGCGCCCGTGGTTTATATTATATGCACATGTCGTTAGCACATGATTAGGATATGACTATGCATGTGGAGGGCGTTTGACCTAGTCAACCAGTATATCCTACTAATGCTACCAAATCGGTCTCTACACCTACCAACCTCCACCTCTCTTCCTCTCTCAGTTACACGACTAACTAATCACAACTATACAGTCAACATACAAATGTAATATCTACCTGGCACGCGAATTTGCACGCCTTCAACTTTTCCTGCGAGACTATGCATGCCTCTTTCTCTCTCTTTCTCTGTTACTCTGTTTCTCCCATTTCAAAAAAAAAAAAAAAATTTATTTTTTTTCTTAAATTTTGTGCAAAAATAAACAAGTGTCCTTTAGACACTTTTCAGTACAACAAAAAACAAAATATATATTTTGGTTCATTTAAAAAAATAATATATTTAATTCAAACATAAGTTGTGGTTGATTTTAAATTATTCATAATCAACTTTTAAGTTTGAATCAAACATAAAATTTTTAAACATAGTTTTTGTTTAAATCAAAACAGAAAATATGTTTGAATTAAATATAATTATTCAAACAAATAATATTTTTGAATCAAAGCAGTAGATATTTTCTATATATTGGGATTAAGCTTACAAACTAATTTCAATTAAACAAAATCACTAAAAAATTATTTTTCTATTTAAATTAAGTTTAATGTTTTCTCAGTGTCCGTAAAGTCCGTATAATTTGATTGAAAAAGAACGAAAAGTTCGTAAATTGTACGATATAATTTGGAGAATTTTAGAGAAATTACAAATGATTGCAAAAATTCAATTATTTTCAAAAGAAATAAAATTCTAGGCAAAATTTCAATAATTTTCAAAAATGTTCCTCAATTCAATGATTTTTAATATCTGCTATTTTCATAAAATTTTCCAAAAGAATTCAATTATTTAAGAAAAATCTAATAATATTCTACGCAAACCTTTAATTATTTTTATAAAATAAT